GGACTCATTCATCTTCTGGAAGCAGTTTGTGTGTGGGCTTCGTGAGGATTATGGGCGCAGATTATCTGCACTGGAAAACATGAGCAAGAGTGAGATTTGGGCTGGGCGACCCCGCCTTCCGAAACCCAAACCCCGAAGAAGAAAGGAAATGAGAAGAAACTGGTTTTTGCTTCTCAAAACAAAGGGTGACTGTGCATCTGAGGTCAAACCCAGAACTCCCTGCTTTCAAGCTGATCGGACCTGCAGCAGGGAGTTCCTCAGTTCTCCACTGCCCGCTTGGGCCAGCTTCCCAGGGACGTGGTCACAGCAGTATCTTCAATCAAGAATCTCTCAGTTTGCTTCACTTTCTTCCCCTCTCCTAACATTGTAGCAAATCCCCCCAATAAAGTATCAATTAATTGTAACTTTTTCCTCTCTATAGTGTCCAGGCTGTCTGACTCCTGTAGACTCCTACAATCTGGTTCAAATCAGATAATCTGGATTAAAAAACTAGATTATAGGACAGTGGAGATGGGACCAGCGAGAGTTGTATAGGCAAGTGGTTGGGTAGCATGTCAACATCCTTTGAGATTGCAGATTAACTGCATTAGACTGAATTATGTAGATATGGTTGTGTAGATTCAGCTGCTCCATCTCACTTTGGGTGGCATGCACACTGTTGAATGAATGTGGTTTGACCTCACTTTGGCTTGATCTGCTTTGAACTGGATTATATGAGTCTACACTGAAAGACAAACCAGTTCAAAGCAGATAATCCGGATTTTCATATGGCAGTGTAGATGGGGCTTGACTGCCATATAATCCAGGTTATCAAAGGTAATCAACATGATCTGCTTTGGACTGGATTATATGAATCTACACTGACAGATAATCCAGTTCAAAGCAGATAATCTGGATTTTATATGGCAGTGTAGATGGGACCTGACTGGATGTACACTGCCATATAATGCAGATTAACTGCATTGAACTGGATTATATGGCAGTTTGAATTTATATAATCCAGTTCAAAGTAAATAATGTGGATTATCAGTTTACATAATCTGGATTATATGGCAATATAGAAGGGGCCAAAGTCGACACAGCCATGTAAGACAGTTCAAAGCAGATAATCTGGATTTTATATGGTGGTGTAGATGGGGCCTCTGCCCAACATTGCTGCTCCCCCTCCGAACTACAACTCCCGGGGCTCCATAGCATCGAACGATGACAGTTCAAATGGTGTCACTTAAGTCACAAACCAGGGAAGGCAAGAAGTGCAGCTCAACCTCAGAAGGTGAAATGGCAAATGAGAACCACAACAGGATTCTGGGCATTTCCGGCCTGCTTCTCTGCAAGAGCCTGTGGCTTTTTCCTCTACAGGTGTTTATACCGTTTGCAAAAGAGCAAAACTTCCGTGACTCTTTGATCTGCTTCAGGCTCACACTTCATGCCAAAGACACGCATGGCTGCCTCTCCTGCACTGCAGAATCAAAGCAATTCAACCCCACTTTAACTACCATGGCACAATGCTAAGGAATCATGGGACTTATAGTTTGGAGAGAGCCCAACACTCTTTGGCAGAGAAGGCTATGACTTTGTGAAACTACAACTTTAATGGTTCCATAGCACAGCTAAAGTGGAGTCAAGTTGCATGTTATTATACCTTGAACCACCAGAAAACAAAGGCGTCAGTATCATTTTCACCCATATAGACAGTTCTGGAGGATTTTGATATTCCAGGTAAAGGAAACCCAATCCTTAATCTAAAGATAGATCTATACTGCCATATAATCCAGTTTCAGAATGCAGGTTAACTGCATTGAACTGGATTATATAGCTTTGCAAACAAGCCCCTTGGTCTCCCTATGGATGTCCCGGTCCTCAAACACTCTCTGCTTTATTCGGAAGAATGCTGCAGTCTCAGAGCTCAGGTGGTGTTGTATTTCAGTCTCAGTGTTGACATCTGTAGACAGTCCATGTTTCGCAGGCATATAGCAGGGCTGGGTGGACAGTAGACAGTGACATTATTAACAAGCCCCTTGGTCTCCCGATGGATGTCTCGGTCCTCAAACACTCTCTGCTTCATTTGTAAAAATGCTGCACTCGCAGAGCTCAGGCGGTGTTGAATTTCGGTGTCAATGTTGACTTTTGTGGAGAGGTGGCTGCCGAGGAAGCAGAAATGATAAACATTTTCTAGTGTCACACCATTAAGCTGTATTTCTGGCATTGGAGAGGGATTGGCTGGTGACTGCTGGAAGAGCACTTTGTTTTTCTCAATGTTCAATGACAGGCCGAGCTTCTCATAATGTGAAGGTGTTTAGAGTGGCTTGGAGGACTTCTTCTGAATGTGTACAGACTACAGTATCATCAGCATATCGGAGTTCTTTAACAGATGCTGTTGTGACCTTGGTTTTGGCACAACAATTGGGACAAAACAGCTGAATTCTAGCTAGAATATATTGTCCCCAGTTTTGCAAATTAAATTTGCAGACAGATTTCTACAGACATAATAAGTTCATCTTTGTGTGGACTTCTGATCCTATTATTATTATTATTATTATTATTATTATTATTATTAAAGATAAAAGTTTCCCCTTGATATTAAGTCTAGTCGTGTCCTACACAGGGGTGGTGCTCATCTCCATTTCTAAGCCCAAGAGCCGGCATTGTCCATAGACATCTCCAAGGTCATGTAGTCAGCGTAACTGCATGGAGCGGTGTTACCTTCCCGCAGAAGCAGTACCTATTGATCTATTCACAATTGCATGTTTCAAACTGCTAGGCCGGCAGAAGCTGGGCCAGCAGCTCCCCGGATTTGAACCGCTGACCTTTCAGTCAGCAAGTTCAGTAGCTCAGCGGTTTAACCTGCTGCGCCACCACGGGGCCAGATTATTATTATTATTATTGCATTATTGTTATTATTATTATTATTATTATTATTATTATTATTATTATTATTATTATTTCTTCTCTGCTTTACCTCTTTTGAAAAGAGACCCAAAACAACTCACAATAAAAGCAATGCAATATATTATAAATTTTTATTCCACTTGTTGTTGTTTAATATTATTGTAACGATAATGATATGATTTGACTAAGAATCGAGCATGAAGCAACAGTGTCACCTGTACCTCATTTGGAAATTACAATTTTTGTTTCCTCCCATTCCTCCCTATGCTTTTAGGACTTTTATGCCTCAGGGATGGATGTATAGGAAGCCAGACTGGAATGACCTGTTCGAAACCATTAGCATTTGCATGCAAGGAATAGTTATGTCTGGGCATTTTTGCAACTTCTTTTCCTGGCCCAGGGGACAAAAAATAATATAAAATTCAATGCTCTTTTTCTTTCTTTCTTTCTCGTTCTGAATATTTTAACTAAGATTTTCACCATGTCAGAATAGTTTCACACACCAAGCAAGAAAGAAAACAAATTCAAAGTATTCAGCCCAAACACTGGGGATCCTGGGAACTGCAGTCCCCAAAAGGGAAAGTTTACAAAGCATGTTCTTTACATCCTCAGCAAATGCAGCTTGCATTTCCGGGACTGACCAGCTTGTGGCGCTGTTGCTCTAGGTAAGGTCCCTTGTACACAAAATCCAGACTACCTGTTTTGAACTGGATTAAAGGGCAGTGTAGAATCAGATAACCCAGTTCAAAGCAGATAACGTGGTTCTCAGTGGTTCTCAACCTTTCTAACACCGGGAACCCTAAATATGGTTCCTCATGTTGTGGTGACCCCCAACCATAAAATTATTTTCGTTGCTCCTTTATAACTGTAATTTTGCTACTGTTACAAATCATAATGTAAATATCTGATATGAAGGAGGTGTTTTCATTGTTACAAATTCAACATAATTAAAGCATCACGATTAATCAGAAAAAATATGTTTGGGGGAGTATAGAAAACAGATGATGAGATTTGCGAAGGAAGATAGATGCTTTTGAACTGTGGTGTTGGAGGAAAGTTCTGAGAGTGCCTTGGACTGCAAGAAGATCCAACCAGTCCATCCTCCAGGAAATAAAGCCCGACTGCTCACTGGAGGGAAGGATACTAGAGACAAAGTTGAAGTACTTTGGCCACATCATGAGGAGACAGCAAAGCCTAGAGAAGACAATGATGCTGGGGAAAGTGGAAGGCAAAAGGAAGAGGGGCCGACCAAGGGCAAGATGGATGGATGGCATCCTTGAAGGGACTGGACTGACCTTGAAGGAGTTGGGGGTGGTGACGGCCGACAGGGAGCTCTGGCGTGGGCTGGTCCATGAGGTCACGAAGAGTCGGAGACGACTGAACGAATGAACAACAACAACAACCGATCAGCCCTGACTTCCACAGACCACTGAGACCTCCACACAGAACTCCCATGTCAAAAAAATACTGGAGGGGTTTGGGAGGAATTGACAGTGATTTAGGGGAGATGTAGTTCACCTACATCTGGAGAGCATTGTGAACCCAAACAACTATGGATCTGGACCAAACGTGGCACAAATACTCAATATGTCCAAATTTGAACACTGGTGGAGTTTGGGGAAAATGCCGGATGGTGAGAGAGGGAGGCAGGCGATGCAGGCTTTGCGTGAGGCCAGGCCTCGTGCAGAGGACCCCTCGCCTGCCCTGCACCCTCGTCGGATGGCGAGAGAGCGAGGCAGGCTTTGGGCGAGGCCAGGCCTCGAGCATAGGACCCCTCGCCTGCCCCATTGTCTCTTCGTTTGGATGGCCTCCCACAATTTCCACAGCAGTGAAGCCTAGTCTGCCCCAGGGATGATGGTATCCTTGGCTAGGAAATCCCTCAATCCTCCTCTGTGCTGGTCCCAAACTACTGTGAGCATGAACTTGCCTGCTGAGAGTTGGGCACGTGCCTTCTTTGGAGACGGTGAGCCAGGAGGCTTCCATTGCAACGACTGGATTTGACTCACAAGATCAGAGGGATGGACCCAGCTTTCATCCTGGGTGATCATCAGTCTGTTGGAAAAGTCCTCCTGGTTTCCATGGCACATCATCGTCAAGAGAGCCTGAGAGCATTCACGTTCAAGTTCACTTTATTACGGTCAATGCCAGCTCATGGAAAGAGGGACACAGCCCCGCACAAACAAATCAGGTCTAAGGGTCAAGAGATTTAAAACTCTAAAATACTTGAGTGCATTCAACTCCTTCCTGCTTCTGGAGAGGTTTGACCAGCCAAGGGACCCAGTGAGTGGATATCTTATGCATGGGGAAATGGTCTTGGGTGATTTTTTCCATGGACCCCACACTCCTCTTGATATTTTGGGCTAGGTGGAGAATGGTTACATGGCAATTTTCCAAAATGGTGACCTCAACTTGCTGGGTGGTGTGTTCATCAATAACAGAGTGGGGTCACCTTGGAATGGGAGCTGTTTGAACCAAAGTCTGACCACATTGGAATGGACGATGCCAGTTCTTGACCCCATCATATGATGGGGAATCTTCACCAGAAACCTCTTTCATTCCATCGGATGCTTCCTTTGGTGTGAGCCTTTCAAGTCAAGGAACTTGGTGACTGCTCTGTCTTCCGCTGGGTCCATTCTCAAACCTCACCCCACTTCGACACCTGTCACATCAAGACCGTTCTGAGTTGTCAATTGGCACGAAACCTATAGAGATTGATACCATGACACATGTGCGGTTTCAGCATCCTGTAATAAATAGAAGTGGGTCAGGGGAAATATTTAATGAATGCCCCTCACCTCGTAAATGTGTACTTTGGGACTTGACCATAGAGCTACAGCAATTATGTTTGGATCATTACAGAAGAGTAGTTGATGTTCCCATTAATTTATTTGAGCCTGGAAACATGGCAGATGCACTTAGCAAGGAAAGTATTGTCAAAGTTTTTCATGGCCGGAATCACTGGGTTGTTGTAGGTTTTTTCGAGCTATACGGCCATGTTCTAGAGGCATTCTCTCCTGATGTTTCGCCTGCATCTATGGCAAGCATCCTCAGAGGTTGTGAGGTCTGTTAAAATTACAACAGCAAAACAACAGAGAGGAAACAATCTGGGACATCTAATCACCTCTCAACAAAAGATTGCCCCAAGCACTGCCAAGCCATCAAATGCTAATCAAGGTGGTCCGTTGAAACATTCACACCTAGCTCTAAAAGACAAGAGTTCTTTGTCCCACCCTAGTCATTCCTCAGATATATAAACCCATTTTCCTAGTTACAACATACCTCACTACCTCTGAGGATGCTTGCCATAGATGCAGGCGAAACGTCAGGAGAGAATGTCTCTAGAATATGGCCATTTAGCCCAAAAAAACCCACAACAACCCACTATCAAGGAAAGATTTTTCCAGTCCTTAACCGAGAAATGTGGTGTATCTGGGTGTATGTTTACGTATGCATAGATCATTGCATGAACAGTTGAATGCATTTTATTGGCTCGTCTTGGCCATTCCCTAGCAGGCATTCTTTGAGGACCGTTGCTTCACTTGGAAATGTGGGCATCGCTTGTGCTTCATGGTCAGGCCATAGCGGGGAGTCATGTCCACTTCCACGCCTTCCTTGACACTGAATTCCAACTCTTGGAGCAGAAAGGTCAAGAAGAGGAAGACTTCCCACCGGGCGATCTGCTCCCCAATGCATCTCCTCTTCCCCAGACCAAAGGTCAGCACTTTCTCGCTCTCGTCCTTGTTGATGTCCTTGCCGTCAGCAGAAAGGAAGCGCTTTGGGTTGAAGGAAGTTGGGTCCTTCCAAAGATTCCTGCAAAAGAGTAGGAGCATTATGACCACCACCATCACCAGTTTTGGCAAGGTGAGGCCAGTGGGGCACTGAATCCAGTCCATGATTTCATTCACAATGTAAAAGTGTTGAGTTAGGGTGCAGCATCTTGGATTGCTCTTTGACTAAAACCTGGAGTGCATTCACTGCTCCATTGGGCTTATTTATTTATTTTGTATCAAAAGCATTGTATAAATTAGTCTAAAACCGATAAAAATAGAAGGAGCGCAGATGGCTAAATATCTTTTGACCAAAAACGGACAACAGCAATGGCACCGTCTGTAGCCCCCAACAATTCATCCTCTGTACATGAGGCAGGGCACAGTGGAAAAACATACAGATGCAGAGTTGTCTGTTCTGCTCCATAGTCACATAAGGTTGTTCCATTGGGCTAGGAGATACCAGTAACCAGGGTGTGCATAATTATAAAGTCCTAAACCACCCCGGCCCAATTTACCTGTCCAAACGCATATCCCCCTATGAACCATTGTGGAGATTAAGATCCTCCAGGGAGGCCCTGCTTTCCATCCCGCCATTGTCACAGGCACAATTGGTGGGGATGAGAGATAGGGCCTTCTTGGTGATGGCCCCCCGGCTATGGAACTCCCTTCCTTGTGAGATCAGGTCGACCCCCTCCTGTCCTTCAGAAGGATGGTCAAAACTTTGCTGTGGGACCAAGCTTTCGGGAGAGGGCAATAAGGCAGCAATAGGAAACTTTACAAGGCCAATTGAGATTTGACATAGATGACCAAGACAGTTTTAAACTGTGTATTTTAATATTGTGAAAAATGTTTTTAATGTTTATGTATACTCATATGAATTCTTGAATGTTTGTCATGTATATGCTGTGCTCCGCCCTGAGTCCCCTTCGGGTTGAGAACGGCGGAATATAAATGTTTTAAATAAATAAATAAAATCAGTAAAATAAAACCAGTATTTAAAAAACTCTAAAATTACAACAGCACAACAACAGAGAGGAAACAAACAAAGACATCTAATCACCTCTCAACAAAAGTTAGCTCCAGGCACTGTCAGGCCATTATATGCTAATCAAGGTGGTCAGTTGAAACATTCACAGCTCACTACCTCTGAGGATGCTTGCTATAGATGCAGGCGAAACGTCAGGAGAGAATGCCTCTAGACCATGGCCATATAGCCTGAAAAAACCTACTACCCAATAAATTCATTTTTAATTCATATTTTGGACCAAATTCATTAAATTCAAGGGAATTGCTGTTGTTGCTTTCGGGGTGGGTGGGTACATTGTTTTTGTTTAAATTTTTTAAAATCCCCAAAAATCTGTAGATGTGTGAATCTTTCTGAAACTTCTGGGGATTGATGCCCTAGGTATCTTGTGCATTGTATTTAAAATCCAAGTAGATAACTCTTGGATAAGTAGAAGGTTCTGAAATTTGGATTTACACACTCCACTGACCTCCATGTCAGAAAGGTTAATCCGCTTTGGGTTGTAGACTTATCCATATAACTCAACCATTTCCCCAAGGGACTTAGCCTCTTGGGTGGCTACGTTAAAGTTTGGACTAAAGCCCCGAGCAGGGTCCATAGTCTTGAAACCTCCAACTTCCACCAGTATGCACATTGTTCATTTGGTCAGTGGGACTAGATCTTGGAAAAGTTCCTTTTGGGAGAATTACAACTCCCAGAATCTCCGCAAACTGGCTGGGGATTCTGGGAGCTGCAGTCCACACGAGGGATTTCACCCAAGCTCTGGATGGAAGTGTGCCTGGATCTCCAAGGTAGACTTACTCATCGTGGTTGACTTGCCACTGGTTGACAAAGACACAGAGGTCCTTTGGGACGTAGTAACCATTGAGGGTAGTTTCTTTGACTGTGCTGAAAACAGAAAAAAGGAATTGCATTATTTATTTATTTTATTAGACCACAACTAATTTGAAACGTGGTGCTAGAGATGTCTGGGTGGGATAGAGGTACGGGGTTTATAGTTCTTTATTGTTCATTTGAGTGGCATATTTTCTTTCTCTGGCAAGGCAGTGTGCATGTTGATCAAACGGGAACTGCACCTGGTTTCTTTTTACATTACACTACAATTTAGTTTAGGGACAGAAGTCAATTATCTTGCATGATGTTTACATTTGGTTATGTACCTGTTGAGAAGTTTCTACTCAAAGGGGTTTTTGGCTCTTCTCTAAAAGTCCCTGTCAAGGAAACCATAGCCCAGAGTTTGGAAAACCTCATCTGAAGAAGGTCAGTCATCACCTGGTGCCTTCATCCTATCTGGGCGCAGAAGAAGACTTACCAGTGGGGAATTGTGAAAGGGAGGAGGGAGGAATGCCGGAACACCTCCATGGTGAAAGCTTCTGTATACGGCAGCAGAGGTCGGTCCGACAGCCGGGGTTTTCGTTCTCTGCCAATGACTTCATCTACAGGTTGGAGAATAGAGAGGAAGGCGTGAGAATCCAGCCTTCTGTAATCAAACCAGACTCCCCAAGCAGCACGCTTTGTTGAGGCCGAGTAGGAGACGGCACCGCTTCCCATTCCATGCAAAAAATGAATTGAATTGCTGGCTGACTTCAAAGTAATGTTAGTCTATACATCAAAGGTACCTTTGAGATGGACTGAGAGAAAGAAGTTTGCACGAGGGTTGAATGAAAAGTAATGCCTCCACCTTCGTTACTAGGTTTGGATAGGAATATTTCAATAAATCCAACGCAGAAATAATCCTGAGAATGTGCTCTTTAACTACCACTATTCACTTTTCCACATAATCACCAGACAATTGGATACATTTCTGCCGATTGAGAAGTTTTCTGAAGCCATCACGGAAGAAGTCGATACTCTGTTTCCACAACCAGTGTCTCACAGTTCTCTCAACCACTATTCACTTTTCCACATAATCACCAGACAATTGGATACGTTTCTGCCAACAATGAACAAGTTTTCTGAAGCTGTCACGGAAGAAGTCAACACTCTGTTTCCGCATCCAGCGTCTCAGCATTCTCTCAACCACTATTCACTTTTACACATAATCACCAGACAATTAGATACATTTCTGCCAACGATGAACAAGTTTTCTGAAGCCAACACGGAAGAAGTCGACACTCTGTTTCTGCAACCAGTGTCTCGCAGTTCTCCCAACGTCTTCATCAGAAGCATCATGATGTCCCCACAGATCTTCTTTCATTATCGGAAAAAGATGGAAGGCAAACGGTGCTAAATCTGGACTGTATGAAGGATGCCGTACGATAATGAGATCCAGTCTCTGAAGTTTCAAGTCTGTGTGTGTTCATTTCAGACATCAGCATCCTGGGTACCCATTGTGCACAGATCTTCCCATAGCCAAGCAAATCAATAACGTGACCCACACGTTCTTGTGAAATGCCGCTTATGCTTGAAATTTCTCTCTGAGTGATACGACGATCGTCCTGAATCAATCTGTCAACTTTTTGCTTGTGAAACTCGGTGGTTGCTGTCACAGGACGTCCAACTCTTTGTCATGCAAGTCAGATGTTCCCACCTCAACATCTTTAAACTTACTTGCCCAACGATGCACAGTACTCACATCAACACAATCACCATAAAGAGCTTGCATTCTCTGATGAATCTCCTTTGGGGTGACACCTTCTGCTGTCAAGAATTCAATGACTGCACATTGCTTAAGTTGTATTGACCAACTATCTGCGCAGGGTTCCATACTCCACACTTTAACAACACAATCGTTCAGTGCTAAGGCTTCCCGCCAAATGGAACTGTAGAGGAGTCTACTGAACAAGCCAGTACCTGCCACATACCAATACTGCCATCTGTTGAAGAGTTACGAAGGTGGAAGCATTACTCTTGTAGACTCAGTCAACTTCATCGGATGTATGGAGTGAGTGTACGTTGACAGATGTTTATACCAAGGGATATATTTTGTGTATGCATGTGGAATAGCCATAGAAATGTAACACAGGTGAGCAGGGTGATGTAGCACATGGCAAAGTGGAAATGCACATATAAGCCACTCCCACTCGGAAGACCCAGCAGAGGTGTTGTGCGTTTTCCACTTCTTCTCTCTCACCCCTGTGACAATCTAATATGGATTATGGCTGAATCTTCCAGACCACATTCCACGAAGACAAATCTTATATGCTAGGAACATATTTCTCCCAGTTAATCTGGCTGAATCATTCATCAGCAATGGCGACAGGGCCAGATCTTCTATCACTGGGTTTGGAAACCTACGTGGTGATAGAAGGAGTGGTGCTCATTGGCCAAGTTTACCTATTTCTTCATGGATTTTCTTCTGGATTTCAGGGTGAATGACAAGGTACATGAGGGACCAGGACAAAGTTGTGGTCACTGTATCGAAACCTATCAAAACACACAGAAAGGGTAGTATTAAGATGCAGAAAAGGCTTGAATCTGATTGAGAGCCCAACCTGAATTGAGATGTTTGGCATAAGTTTAGACTCACTATTCAACAATTGGTTCAGAAAGTCTAGAACAGTGTTTCTCAACCTGTGGGTCGAGATGTTTTGCATTCAACTTCCAGAAGTCCTATCAGCTGGTAAATTGGCTCGGATTTCTGGGAGTTGTAGACAAAACCCCTGGGGACCATAGGTTGAGAACCACTGATCTAGATCTATATTGTGACCTTAGGAGGCCCTCAAGGACCATCTAGATCTATACAGTGAGCTTAGGAGGCACTCAACAACCATCTAGAACAATGGTTCTCAACCTGTGGGTCCCCAGATGTTTTGGCCTTCAACTTCCAGAAGTCCTATCAGCTGGTAAACTGGCTCGGATTTCTGGGAGTTGTAGGCCAAAATACCTGGGGACCACAGGTTGAGAACCACTGATCTAGATCTATACTGTGTCCTTAGGAGGCCCTCAAGGACCATCTATATCTATATAGTGACCTTAGGAGGCACTCAGTGACCATCTAGAACAGTGGTTCTCAACCTGTGGGTCCCCAGATGTTTTGGCCTTCAACTCCCAGCAATCCTATCTGCTGGTAAACTCATCGAGATTTCTGGGAGTTGTAGGCCAAAACACCTGGAGACCCACAGGTTGAGAACCACTGGTCTAGTGAGTGTTTTCAACCCACAGTCTTCTCTCTGCAAGCCCTATCAGGATTCTGGCTTTCACCTGATGTATGCCTTCAGGTCAACTGTAATCTATGGCAATCCCATCCTATGATTTTTTTTTTCCTGGCTAGATCAGGTGGTTAAAGAATGTTAAAGGAACTATCACTCACGTGGAACATTTTTACATGTGGTATTCAACATTTGTGATAGCTCTTGTAATGTTTATATTAAAACTCAGAGTAGTTGTCTTGCCCCACTAATAGAAAACTCACCAGTAAACACAATCATTGCATTAAAGTGGCCAATATGAGAAACAGTGGCCAAACATAGGCGGTCTACAGCTATTTTGGAGTTCAGCTCCCATCTACTCCAGCCAACAGTACCAAAGGAGTTGCACTGTAGGATCTGTAGTTGTAAAAATCTGGTAGACACGATGATCAGCATTAGGATTGTTTCATGAGATCCAGGAGAGGTCTTTACTCCCTTCAGTCTATTCCGTATTTTGATCTAAACATAGTTTTATCTACAAATTCGTCAAGCCACCTTTGGTGTTGGCTATCCCCTCAAGAAGACATCCTTACCAGCTCCAAAGAGGTCGTTGACAAGGTTGACTATTTTTTTAGAGGAGAACTGAAACTTTTCCTGGCTTTGCTCAATGAGAGAATCGGTGATGTCCCGGATACTCTCCTGAAAACAAAAACAAAACTTAATCTAAGCAGATCATATTCATTTAGCAATTTGTAACAGTGGCACCTACTATTCCTCCAAGGAACTCACAGTGACATATGTACTTTGCCTGCTCTTTAGCAAAAAACTAATAAATACATGAAACATCTACTGCAGAGGTTCTCAACTGTCCTAATGCCATGATCCCTTAATACAGTTCCTCTTGTGGTGTCCTCCAATCATAGCATTATTTTCGTTGCTGTCATTTTGCTACTGTTATGATTCGTAATGTAAATGGTGGGGTTGTTGGAACATTGATTCTGTCATTTGGGAGTTTTAGTGGCTGGGATTTATAGGTCACCTACAATGAAAGAGCATTCTGAATTCCACCAATGATGGAATTGAATCAAGCTTGGCACATAGAACTCCCACGACCAACAGAAAATACTGGAAGGGTTTGGTGGACACTGACCTTGAGTTTTGGAATTGAAGTTCATCTACATCCAGATTGTGGACTCAAGCAATGATGGATCTGGACCAAACTTGGCATGAATATCTAATATGCCCAAATGTGAATACTGGTGGAGTTTGGGGAAAATAGACCTTGACATTTGGGAGTTGGAGTTGCTGGGATTTATTGCTAACCTACAATCAAAGAGCATTCTGAACCCCAACAACTATTGAATGGAACCAAACTTGGCACACAGAACCCCATGACCAACAGAAAATACTGGAAGCGTTTGGTGAGCATTGACCTTGAGTTTGGGAGTTGTGGTTCACCTACATCCAGAGAGCACTGTGGACTCAAACAAGGATGGATCTGGACCAAACTTGGCACGAATACCCAATAGGCCCAAATGTACACACTGGTGGAATTTGTGGGAAATAGATATTGCCATTTGGAAGTTGTAGTTGCTGGGATGTATAGTTCACCGACAATCAAAGCGCATTTTGAACCTCACCAAGAATAGAATTGAGCCAAATTTCCCACACAGAACTCCCATGACCAACTGAAAATACTGTGTGTTGTGATGGTCTTTGGCGACCCTTCTGACACCCCCTCACACCCCCCCAGGGGTCCCGACCCCCAGGCTGAGAAACGCTGGGCTAGACCATCTTCATCTCAGATTTCTTTTGCCTCCAAATGAGGAGCAAATGGGTTTTATCACCATTTTGGTCCAGTCAGCTCAAAAAGTGACTGGAAGAAATTTTTTGCTCATTTCATGTTTAAAAAGGTCCATTCCTAGACCTAAACTGGTCCAAGGGAACATAAATATGGGCCAGTGCCCTCTCCACCCTTGACATAGGAAGAGAATGCCCTTATTCCTCGCTTCCTTACCTTGCTGAAACTCTCATAGTGTTCCTTGACCATCTTGAGTAGGAAAGCAGAGAACTTCTCATTGAATTCCTTAAACACCTTCATGCTGCCCATGGGGAGATATTGGAGCAGCGGGATGAAGTCTGCAAGATTCCCTGCGGCAGCCACTTCCACAAACTTTTCGCTCTCATCAATGATGCTGAGGAATTCCTGATTGTCGTGGCTGTACCGTTTACCAAAACACATGGCGCAGATGACATTGGCCACGGAGACCACAATGTATCGGAAAGGGTCCAGGGCCTTCTTCTCCCGCATCACCTCTTGTAACTTCTGGATCAAGAAGTCGACCTCCTTGGAGACATGCTCTTCTATGAGGTACATGGAAGGCGAGGCTGGGCTGGGGGAAGCAGCAAAGGACTTCAAGGCGTTCTGGGCCAATTTCCGCCGGGCGCGCCACACTTCTCCCGAATCGTGGCCAAAAGCCAGGCTTTCCCCATCGGTCACGTAACGGAAGCTGTAAAGGTCCGGGCGTCCCAAGAACTCAGCTCCTTGCCTCACCAAGGCTTTCCGTATGGTTTCTAGCCCGCTCAGCACTAACACGGGTGTGCTGCCGATATGGATCATCATCACGTCTCCATATTTCTTGCTCATGCGTGTCAGGCTCAGGTGGGGGTTCTTCCCCAACTCCAACATGTTCCCAATGAGAGGGTACCCCGTTGGCCCAGGGATCTTCTTCAGGCCATGAGGAACCTGATTCCGGAAGGACTTGACCATCAGAAAAAGTAAACAGAAAACAGCCGTGGCAATGAGGGCTTCCGTGGTTGTGATATGGCTCAGACTTTCCATGGCTGACATCTCCAAGGTTGGCGTTGTAGACCTATTCAAACTTGACAGAAGACAGGCAAGGAAGTGAAGAGTAAAGTATCTGCAAAACTATATACGTTTCCTTGCGGGATTACAACCTGAGCCATATTGACATTCCCAGCTGGAGAAGATCTGTTGAATTAATGGGCTTTCCATAACTGCCGGCTCACTATTTAACAATAGTTTCAAGTCCAATTGGGAATATCAATAGCATTCAACCAACCACATGTGCTTAACTGCACCTCTATGGCTGATATTAGTTTGAAAATTGCTTAGTCCCTATTAGAGTAGATCTAGTCGATCAATCAATGAATAGTAAATCAACAGATAGATAAATCTAATGAATTCAATGGGTTTATTATATTTATTTATTTATTTGTTTACGATATTTATATTCTGCCCTTCTCACCCCGAAGAGGACTCAGGGCGGATCACAAAGTACACAGACAAGGCAAACATTCAATGCCATTTTTAGACATATAAGACAGACAGATAGAAGCAATTCAGCATTTCCAACTTCAGCGCCTGGTGGTTATGCTTGATTCCGGCCACAGGGGGTGCTGTTGCATCATCCGCTATGGCGCTAAGCACTTTTGATCTATTTCCTCCTTGTTCTTTGATTGCCGGCATTTTTATGGTGTCGTAAAATACCTCCCCGCTTTATGCAGTGCCTAATTTCTCTACTCACAGCTCTACTGTTTTCGAACTGCTTAAATGGACAGTAAGCTAGGCTTAACAATCAGGTGCTCAATCCGACTCAGGCTTCGAACTTGCCACCTTCCGGTTGGCAGTTATCTATTGCTGCTGGCGATTAACCAGCTGTGCTATAGCCTGGCCCTATTATAATCAGAATTCAATTATTATCTGGATTATAGATCATAGAATCTCTGAGCTGTCATAGCCAACACTTGTGGAAGAGGGAAAGACAAAAGGGAGGGAAGGATGGAAGGACTAAAGAGTGGAAAGGGAAGGAAGGAAGGAAGGAAGGAAGGAAGGAAGGAAGGAAGGGAGAGAAGGATGGAAGGAAGGGAAAGAGAGAAGGAAGGAAAGACAAAAGGGAAGGAAGGAGAAAGAGGGAGATAGTGGAAGGAAGGAGGAAGGAGGGAAGGAAGAAAATACAAAAGAAAAGGAAAGGAGGAAAGGATGGAGGGAAGAAGAAAAGGATGGAAGGAAGGAAAAGATAAAAGAAAAGGAGAAGGAGACAAAAGGGAGGAAGGAAAAAAGGGAGAGAGGAAAAGAAGGAAGGATTAAAGGGTGAAAGGAGGGATGGAGGAGAAAGAGGGAGGAGAAGGAGGAAGGAAAGAGAAGAAGGAAGGAAAGACAAAAGGGAAGAAAGGATGGAAGGACTAAAGAGTGGAAGGGAAGGAAGGAAAGAGAAGAGGAAGGAAGGGAAGGATAAAGAAAAGAGAGAAGGAAGGAAAGACAAAAGGGAAGGAAGGAAGGAGAAAGGGAGAGAGTGAAGGAAGGAGGAAAGAGGGAAGGAAGAAAATACAAAAGACAAGGAAGGGAGGAAAGGATGGAGGGAAGAAGAGGATGGAAGGAAGGGAAAGATAAAGGAAAAGGAGAAGGAAGACAAAATGGAAGGAAGGAAGGAGAAAGGAAGGGAGAAAAGAAGGAAGGACAAAGGGAAAGGGAAGGATGGAAGGAAAAAGAGGGAGGGAGGGAGGAAGAGGGAAGGAAAGAGGAAAGAAAGAAGGAAGACAAAAGGGAGGGAAGGATGGAAGGACTAAAGAGTGAAAGGAATGAGGGAGGGAAAGAGGAAAGGGAGGAAAGACAAAAGGAAGGAAGGAAAGTAAGGAAGGAAGGATGAAAGGGTGGAAGGGACAGAAGGAAGGAGGGAGAAAGGGAGAGAAGGAAGGAAGCATGAAAGGGTCGAAGGGAAGGAGAAAGAGGGAGAGAAGGAGAAAGGAAAGGGAGAAGGAGGGAAGGATAGGATGGTGAGAAAGAAGAGGGCCTAAGAAAAGAGCCCAAGGTGCCCATCCCTGTCCTACTCGTTCATTCAGAGTCTGGAATGAAAACCAGAGTATCTAAGCCACATCTGTTCCAACATGCACTCTGCCCCTGTTTGCTGTCTGAAGTCAAGCAGTTAGTAGCGCTTTCCTCCCCGAACACATGAAGTTGTTTGTGAGCATGATAAGTTCACGAATCCAAACGAATGGTGCTCTTGAGCACAATGGACTCATGGATCCAGTGAGGCTTCCTTGGTTTCAGTACTCAAATCCTGGGTCCGTTCCCCAGGACACAGAAGAAGACAATAGAAAACCTCACCTTGCCAAGGAAGCCCTGGCATGAAAATGCCATGATAACAACATGTTTCCATAGGACAATGTAAGTCAACAAATACCTGTGTGTCTCGGGTGAAAGAAGAAACTAGAATCTTGCATGTAGTTGTCATGCAATAAGTCTTCAGCAGAATCTTTTCAGATGTGTCTCCTCCGCTGATAGAAGTGATTTCCCTCCCAAGCAAGATAAGGGAGTATTTCATGCCCTCAGGTCCAAAGGAGGATTATCTAATCCATTTCCCCTTCCGTAGCCAAAGCGCCACAGTTGTAGCCAAGTCATGACACACAACTGGAGCCGATCCAATAAAAACACTCCAGTTCTTGGCATTCGGGGGAAATCAGGTAACAGGTCCCACATCGGCCAGTCAATAAGTTTACTCCAGATGTTGTGAGGTGTTGTTTTTGTATTTTGCACGAGAGAGAAGTCTTTGCATTATGAAAAATATCATTCACCCATTCCCATTCTCAGCAAAAAAGAAAACATGGAGCCTCCCAATGTTGGATTTCTTACCATATCCATCATCGACTGGGCCAATCCATCTCCATTGGCCCCATAGACCCAGCTGTACAGAGGACAACAGAATCCTGACGTTGGGCTGCCTGTCCTTTGTGTGGCCACCTGGACATTTGAATGGACACAAATCTTCTGGTATTTTCTTTCCAGATGTTGGGATGACTTGCCCCACTTTCCAGAATACCTTTTCCCACTTTCCCAGGACTGGATTATTTATGTATTTATTTATTTACAATATTTATATTCTGCCCTTCTCACCCCGCAGAGGACTCAGGGTGGATCACAATGTGCATATACATGGCAAACATTCAATGCCATTAGACATACAACATATATAGACAGACACAGAGGCAATTTAACATTCCAGCTTTTTCTGGCTTCATGAGGCTATGCTCGATTCCGGCCACTTCACCGTCCACTTGTGACACCAAGTCCTTTGATGGAGTACTTCCTCATTTTTACGCACGCTACTGGAAGGTTTTTATGGTGTTGTAAATTAGTTAAATTATCCTCCCCACATAAAACGGTACCTAAATTTCCTACTTGACAGATGCAAATGACTTTTGGGCTGCATAGGTCAAGAGCAAGCTAGACTATTAATGGCTGGGAGCTCATTCCAACCCAGGCTGGCTACGAACTCATGACCTCTTGGTCAGTAGTGATTTAATGCAGCTGGCTACTAACTAGCTGCACCACAGCCGTATCCCATTGAACTATATCCTGCTTTCAGAAACAATGGACACTGGTGCAGAGTCACCGGACCCACTTGACCAGGTTCATCAAGACAATAGTCAAGACAGTAGCACGCATGGGACTCGAGGGCCACTCTTTGTCCATCCCAGTGTTGGGACACTGTAATCCTTTCATATCCACATGTCTTCTTTGTCTAGAACATCCTCCCAGCCCCTTGCTGGCCATTAGAGAGTGGAAATCTCCATTGGAAGCAGGGACCTCTTTCTGATTGGCTGGCGCTGCAGTCCCACCTCCCAGGGAGAGTCCTCCCAGCTGGCCATGACATCAGCCCGGCTCTGCCAATCACGGTGAAGCCGGCTCCAGCTGGGGCGGGAGCAGGAAATACAACGAACTAGACTGTATGAAATGGCATGTTTTCTCTATGTACGGTATCTCAGCTTTCTTTGACGGTTTACCGTGAGCTGGACGGAATAAATACCTCAGTGGCTTCTTTCAACTTGGTGAGATTTATTGATATAGTTTCTCTGGGAACATTGGGTAGCTTCTTCATCTTGCCAGTCGCACGGATCCACGAGCGGCCCGCTGGCAGTGCCGGTATCCGCATATCGGAACTCGATATCCGCGGTTTGGGTTTCGCTATCCGCGGCGTGGATCTCACTATCTGTGGTCGGTTCAAATTGCTCTACTTCAATAGGCTCTCCTTAATATCACCATGAGTCAGAAACCACCAGAGGGCATACAACAAGCACAAATCTTAACAAGACTTTCCTGAAGGATGTAGGGATTGAGTCTGAGACCCATAGTATAAGGGGGAAGGTAAAGGAAAAGTAATGCCAATATGAGCAAAACCAGGAGGTCAGTCAGAAGCCTTGGATCAGTATTAGTTTTAAAGACCTCTGGCCAGGCAGAATGGACTCTGGTTAAAAATTGCCTAGCTTTGCGTGAGAAGCCCTTTTTTGGCTAGATTTCCCCTTGTGCCCCAGAGCCAAACAGGGGGAGGGAAACAGGCAGAGAGCATATTTACTTATTTATTTACTGTATTTGTGTACCCCCTTTCTCAGCCCGTAGGCAACTCAAGGCGGTTAACAGGGCAAAATTCAATGCTTACAATGTCATATATACAATTAAAAACATAACATATAATAAAAAAACTAAACAAATCAATCGTAATGTTCGTTTGTGGGATTAACAGAACTCAAATACCACTGGACGAATTGCCGCCAAATTAGGCCACAAGACACCTACTAACCCAAGGAGTGACCATCCCTAAAAAAATGATTTTGTCATTCAGGTGTTGTAGTTGCTGGGATTTATAGTTCACCTACAATCAAAGAGCATTCTGAACCCCACCAATGATGGAATTGAACCAAACGTGGCACACAGGACTCCCATGACCAACGGAAAATACTAGAAGGGTTTGGTGGGCATTGATGCTGAGTTTGTGAGTTGTAGTTCACCTACATCTAGAGAGCACTGTGGACTCAAACAATGATGGATCTGGACCAAACTTGGCACGAACACTCAATGTGCCCAAATGTGAACACTGGTGGAGTTTGGGGAAAATAGACCATGACATTTGGGAGTTGCAGTTGCTGGGACTTAAAGTTCACCTACAATCAAAGAGCATTTTGAACCCCACCAACAAGAGAATTGGGGCAAACTTCCCACACCGAACCCCTATGAGCAATAGAAAATACTTAATCCAGTCCAACTCTCTTCATCAGAACAAGAAAACGTAATCAAATACTGTTTGCCCCCAAGCAGAAAGTTCACATTTGATCAGCCCACACTCTGCCTTGCCAGAGAAAGAAAATATGCCATGCAGGTGAACAGTAAAAAAAAATAATCCCGAACAACCTATGTACAATGTGAACAGTTGCACCAACGCATACAATGTCCTTTTATGAGAGGTTTAAAATAGTCTTTATTCTGTCCATGTGGATAAATTCCTTTAGCAGCTCATGAAGCGAAAATAAACTCCAAACTCTGTTGCTGCTTCTGTCTTCGAAACTGTTTCTCTCTGCACTTTCATAGCTCAAGCCTTGAGTTCGGAGTAGAGCAACTGCTTTGGGAGATGGTGGTCAGGCATCCGGAAAACTCAAGAATGGAAAACGGGATGTTGGAGGGCAGAAAAATAGATTTAAAGATGGGCTCACAGCCAACCTTAAAAACCGCAGCATAGACACTAAGAATTGGGAAGTCCTGGCCCTTGAGCGCTCCAGCTGGAGGTCTGCTGTGACCAGCAGTGCTGTAGAATTTGAAGAGGCACGTGTGCCGTTGCACCTGGGGGCTATAGCTCTTAGTGAAAGAGGCATGGACGTGGCATCTTTCCCCAGGGGATTGCTTCTTGCCCTCCTATAGGAAACTGGAACTTCAAAAGACCGAAACACAACAGATAACTCGAAATGGTATTTATTGTTCACAATGAGTTATCTTTCTCAGGCATAAGCTTGATGTTTCAATAGGTTTGCAGCTGAGAAGCTTTTCCTGTTTCCTCTTTCCTCAATGTGAATATCAGAATGAACACAACCCCAGTCCAATGGCCTATGTTGAAGGGACAAGACCTTCCTCTGGTGCCAAAAGAACCGGTTTGAAGGCGCTTGGGTCTCCTCAATGTTGTCCAGGACGATCTGGACATAAAGCATGAGTTCCAAGGGTAAAAAAACCTTGGAATTGGTGCTGAGAGGTAATTTAAGCAGGAGCTTTTAGAGCCAAGTCTCTTACTCACATTCATCTGATAGAAACTCTGATGGCAGAATGAGAGAAAGGAAGCACTCCCCTCCTCCAGGAAGAGGTGGAGCCAAACAATTGAGCTTGAGAAAGCAATTCAACTGGTGCAAACAACACTGATTGACAGCTATAAATAACCAATCAATCCAACTATGCATAAGCAGGGTAAAAAGGCAGGATGCAACAGTTTAAATCTTGCAATTAACAGTTCTACACATAGGTGGCGCCACTCACGCTGTCACAGCACGAATGGAAGACAAAAGAGAGAAACATGCCAAAAGGAAGGCGCATCAAGTCTGGAAACCAATGCCCTCACTGCAGGAGAACATGCAGATCAAGAATATGGCTCCACAGTCACCTTGGACCCACCGCCAGGACACTGATCTTGGAAGACAATCCTACTCGGACTATGAGGGATCGCCTAAGTAAGCTCAAGCCTGAACAAAAATGCAACCATATCTAAAAGTCTCAGGTGTAGCTGTGTCCCCGGACATCGTTTGACCAATCAGCTTCATGCATCTTATTTTACATCTTATTTTACAGTTGCCACACACACATTAACTGATTCCTTGCATGCTCCAACATAGAAGATGTCCTTTCCAGCTCCAAAGATGTCATGGATAAGGTTGGCAATTTTTTCACATGAAAGAGGAAATTTTCCTTGGCTTTGCTCAATGAGGGAATCGGTGATGTCCTGGATACTTTCCTGACAAAAAATACAAAATCGATTTGTCTTAACTTGGCAGATCTTCTCCATTTAGCCACTTGTAACTTTCATGAAATAAATGCCTACGTGAGATCCAGGAGCATCTGGTCTTTGGTGCTGTGTAAAGTGGGTGAACCTGTTTGACCCACACTTCCTTGACCCATTTCAAACCAGCTTCAGGGCAGGATACGGGGAGTTGAGACTGCCTTTGTGGATTAACTCTGTCTCAACACCGACAGCACATGGAGGATGGTTTTATACGGCAGCAGATCGCAGGATCAGTCTTCATAGTCCTGTCAACAGCTTATGATACCGTAAATCATTGCCTTCTCCTGAGAAAAACGTATAATATCACAAAGTGCTACCACCTCACCCACTTCATAAGAAATCTGCTACAAAACAGGAGCTTTTTTGTTGAAATTCAGGGCCAGAGAAGCAGATGGCGAAAACAGAAGAATGGCCTGCCTCAAGGGAGTGTGCTTGCTCCATCAATGTTTAACATGATCAGCTATTGCCAGAAGGAACAGTTTCATCTATGCTGACTATAATGCCATCACCGCT